CAATTGTATTTTCATAATTAAGCATATATGATGTTAATAATGATAAATGTATAAGATCTTTTAATACAAAATGATATAAGAAATTAATAGTAATTCATTTATCAAGAAGATTAAAAGGATAAATGTACCTTTGTTAGTTATGATCGATTCTAATGAGATCCGATCACGTATTCTACAAATAAAAAGAAAAACAACGTCTTTATTCTATTCTCAACTTTAGGCGAACATGATTGTTAAAATGAATTATTTGTATTAGGATAATCCCTATGTTCATTAAGTAAATATGATTTTTTATAACGAGCATTACATTCACTCCAGAAGTGCTTCTATTAGACAATCATTGATGAAAACGGTGGATCTGCTGAAGATGTGAAGGCGTGGATTGGCAAAGCAAGAACAGCATATCTACAACCGAAGAACATCTCGAACTCAAAATAACTGTCAACCAACACCAAGGTCAGGATTTTCAATACAAATGTCAAGACAGTTCTACTGTATGGGTTGGAAACCTGGAAACCTACGAAAACCATCATCCAGAAGATACAAGTGTTTATTAACAGCTATCTACGCAAAATACTTCGGATCTGTTGGCCAGATACTATCAGCAACAACCTACTGTAGGAGAGAACAAACCATATTCCAGTGGAGGAAGAAGTGCTGGAAGTGGATAGGACACACATTGAAGAAAGCACTCAACTGTGTCACAGGGTAAGCCCTAAATTCAAATCCTCAAGGTCAAAGAAGAAGAGAAAGATCAAAGAACACATTACACCGAGAAATGGAGATATACATGAGAAGAATGAACAAGAATTGAAAAGTAGGGCCCATGGCAGAGTGGGTTAAAGAATGCTGATCGGTAGCCTATGCTTCATTGGGAGTAACAGGCGTAAGTAAGCTAGTAAGACTTTTCATAACAGATAAATATAAGACTAAGAAGGTAACATTTATTAAAATCTACATAGATATTAAACTTATTCTTGTATATGATATAAATTCTACATAAATTATGAATAAATTGTATCAATGGAAAAACTTATAAGAATCCATACTCATTCTCTTCGGTGATTATGTTCCAATATTATTATAACGTTAGAGAGATCTCGGTGTATTTTAATGATTATACAAGATATAATTGAATGATGTCATCATTAGTAAAGATATTTAGGACTGAATTCTGATTAGCCTTTGTTGACATATGTATGTTCTATGCAGATTAACTCGTTTTAATAGTTATAGATAAACTGTGAATGGCAATGGAATCTAAGATGTATGTTTTGTCCTATTTCGGATTCATCAATAGAATGAATTTGTAATACAGTTTTGATGATCATACTAGATTTCACATCCCATATTAAATGGTAACGCGTTGTCTATTAAGTCTAGTTAATTCTAACTCATACTAACCACAAGGTAAACATTTTGTCTGGAGAATAAATTATTAATTATCTAGACTTAGTAGTTCAATATTAACTTCCAGTGTACATCCAGCTGATACGTTTTGGAATTGAACAACTAAACAATGTAATTATCTTTAATCTTTATTATATTGAATAACATATAACAATTGAAATCTATTTGTGTCAGAAAGGGTTTTTGTGAATATTATGGTCATTTCAATAGTCGAGATCACGAGGAATCCCACAATAGGACGAAACGGTCGTCGAATGCTTCCAGGTTTTTCATAGTGATCTAACTTTAATTGGCTCATGATCTCAACTATCGAAATCTATTTATTCAATTTCATCAAATGATCACATGTGATCATGGCGTGACTATAATTTATGAACGAACCAACCAGGTATAAGATAACAGGTCATGAATTTTGGTGCGAAATTCATTCATCCATTTGGCTAAATAACGTTTTGGCATTTCAACTAATGTCAGTTCGTGATGAAAACTCCAAATCTAATTTCTAACCCTAACCATCAATTGTAAATCATAATTCTAATTCTTCACGATGGTTTATAACCCTCATTTAGTCCTGGTTATTAGGTGAACACACTCAAGGTCACTTTAGCATCGCTCAAAGGTCGTCCATAGATCATAGTCTGACTGTTATTAGCTATTCTTATTTGTGAATCCAGTACGTGTATGAGTATACCTGCAAATTGATGAGTTATAATTAAACATTTACATAAATAGATAATAGTTTTATTATTATAAATCAGACGAAATATCAGTGTTTTATATCTATTTAAAACTTAACTCTGCCAACTACAATATGGTCGATCAGGTTATATACACAGACTCGAGTTAGAAATATCTATGGATACTCTTCTATGATAGATGGTTGAGGGTGGTTGATATGAAGCCGTGAAGCTAGTTTTCGTCCTGTTTGGTACTCATCAGTAAGGGAAATGATGCTCTCTAGTGGATTCGAATCCGCAATATAGACTGTGAAGCTAATGACAAGTGCCAAATAGCATAGAACCTAAGTCTAGGATATTCTGTCAACCATATCTAACCACCCAATATGTCAATATAGCGCACACGATGTCAAGTCACTGAGACTAGTGGCTACGTTGAAACTCGGTCGATAAAATTCGAAAACTAAAGGTTCATACGGAAATGAAATTGGTTTCCACTCAGTAATCAATTAATTATCAAGTCAAAAAACGCACTTTTTGTACTCCTTGAGTAACAAGATAAGAATTGCTCACCTAGCCTGGAAAAGAAATACTAGAGGTTTGATTATAAACAAAAATATGTTGAGTATCATGAGAGGCACGCAGTTGACACCAACATGTTACCACTTCTTTATTGTCTTCAGAGACTGCTGAGATGAGTTTCAAAGCAGTTATCAATTCAGCAGCAGTTCATTGATCTTTCCAAACGTTTTGAATTAAACCGAAGAAAATTATTTTTCTTGGGGGATATGAATAAAAAATTATTAGTATTGCTAGTCTCATCAATATTATAACATGATCACAGAGCCCAAGAGACAATTGTCTGAGGCCAATAGCACAGAACTTTTTGTCATCAGACCAAGGAACGATAGAGGATGTGCCACTCTTTATTCAGGGCTTTTTCTAAGCAATTCGATTATTTCTTACCCCCTAAACATTATATATAATGTTACAAAAGCTAGTGGCTATTTGAACTCGAAGACTAAGTAGACAGTGTGCTAGACATTTAAAGGAGAAGAGACTGGGTTCGAGTTCCAAAGTGGACATAGACACGAGCGGATGAATATCCGGCTGACGAGCCTTAAATAGGGATAATTGCATGTCCCACACTCAACTGCCAACCATTATCCAACTCTGCTTAAAAGTGGTTGTATCCAGTACTTTTAAAACCCTAAATAAGGATCTTATTTATAACTTTGACAATACGATTTCCGTTTGGTAAAATGAAACTATGTAATATAAATCGTGGGAAAAGATACACTGTTATGAATACTCATTTTATACCACTAATGAACCTTGAACAATGTATGTAACTTTTGTTTGATAAAACTAATTCTTTCCGAGAGTAATTCTGAAGGTTATCTACAAATTGATTATTCTAAAACACTCCATTAATCCTATTATGCTTCATACTTGATTTTTATTCTTGTTTGACATAAGATAAACTGAAGATAATTCTCTTATTACAATAAGTCATTATATTTAGATAAAGTAACTAATGTGATTGAATTTAATGAGTCTGATTGTTATCTAAACAAAGAATCTGAATAAAAGAGCTAGTTTATTAGGTTTTGTAGAGATTGAATTCTTAGGTTGTTTTCGGAACAGATGGCTCTTAATTGAGATAGCATTACAAAACAGGAAGTTTTAGGTAGCTGTTTTGTCTTGGAATGATGGCCCACAGAGTTGTACAACTATGATCCCATCAGGGATCCAACTGAGGACCTTCAGGTCTTAAAGTGAATGTTTAATCACAATAAGCATTGAACTAGCATCTAATGGTATGATTTCGACTTTCCTCAATGTGAGATATAGTACAATGACTATCTAGCGCCAATAGTGACCACTGTTTCACTCCCGAAATGTTTAAACCCTACGAATCACATCTCATTCCCTGTGGGTGACCTAACTAAAATCAGTCTGTGACAAACAGAACCTACGAACTGGTCATTTATTTATCTACTCATTGTTTGATCATTGTCATATTCAGTTGAGACAAGATCAAGAGACAAAAATCTTCTGTTAAGTGATAAAAAGTCACTTCATGAAGTAAGACAAATGATATTCACCGGAACAACGAAGACTGAGCAATTAGAACATCTAGCTTAAACAAGGGTAGCAAAATTTTTGGTGACCATTTACAAAAAAAAGGAACTGCCAACTAAAAGCTATTTAACAAAAGGTCAACATAAGCTCCATTTAAGCAATTGTATACAATGCTAGTGCACTAGATAGTTAGCCACAAAGCTCTAACTTATGTGAACGCTAGATAAAAAGAGTAATCCTAATAGTATGTTTCATAGTTGGTTGATTTTATTCGTATGAAGAGATTGTGTTTTTTTTAGGTTATATCACAAAGTAACCTTAGTAAAACAATGATTGAAGACCAGAAAGCATTGGACAGTTATTTCGTCCCAGTTTGGAACTCCTCAGTGGTGCTCAAACACAAACAGACCAGGGTTCGAACACGGGCCTCATGGGTTTGTCGATGGACACTTAATCTTTAAACCAGTAAATCAGCATACATTAGTTTACATTTGCAGCTACAACAGATCAAACAATTTTCCAATATCATTGGTGGTTCACTGCCTCACACCAGGCATAGTTGAACTTCACTGGTTACAGTGTCTCATCAGAACTCCGGAAATTACATTTCGAAACTAGTCAGTTGTTGAATAGTTCCTATTCTAGGATGAAAAATCTATCCAATGTTTCATCTCTGTGATTTACACCATAAAACTAAAGACTCAAACAACAATCCATGCATACTCATCAATCAAGTATAAAACAACTTGGGAATGATGTGTGAGGTGAAGGAACATCCTAACCCACACTTCATTTCCCCACACAAGAAAAAAAAACTAAATGCAATAACAAAACTAAACTAAGCTGGCAATTTTTTCAACAAACTAATTTAAAAGCCAAAACGAAAAACAAAAGACATAACAAACAAAAAAGAAAATATTATTATTATTATGATTTCTTATTGAATCGTCGTGGTCTTTTGGATATCCATCCATTCATCCTTATGAACACAACACTGTTAGTTGTTTGTAACTTTCTTCTCAATACATATTACGTAACAAAATCATGGTAACAATAAGAAGTGTAAAGCATAAAGTCTTTTATAAAAAGAAAAACAAGTCAACAATGTGGGAAATAGCTTTTTAAAAAGAAAGTAAACAACAGACTGTATGACAAGTTTCTGATGGGATACAATGGAAGACGTTTTTGTGATGTCAATCATTACATCTATCTATCTATCTATATATGGCGTATATATGTGTATAGATGAAAAGAATATACTTGAATAAGTGAAGAATTACTCTTCTGCATCACAGACTATTCTGTTTACAGTTTGTTTGTTTTTTTTCTCAAACAGATACAACTTGAACTAAATGATGAAGATATAGGATTAGTAAATGAATGGGAAGGGGATACTATTGAAATTGTCAATACTATTATTATTATTATTACACATATATGTACTGACGCCAGTAATACTCGTGTACAATACACTGTTTTGAAGCATGGAAAATGTAGTATTGTAAAAGAAAAGGCAGAAGGGTAGAAACAATCTGTCTCTCTCTACCCCCCCCCTCTCTCTCTCAAAAAAAAAACAACCTCATTTAAGAAAATAAAATGAACAGTACAGAAAAAGAGGAGAAGTTAGTCAGGGGAAATTAGAATTAATCACAATTTGTAACTTGTATGAATGGTTTTCTTTTATGAATCACAATATATATATACTACTATTATTAGTAGTATTGAAATCGACAAGAGAACACACCAAATACAAGTAAACATTTTTGCCATTTATTTGTTGTCAATCGAATTTGAAAGATTTTAAAAAAAAACATAAAAATTGATCCAAATCAAGGAAAAGTTTTTAGTAATTTCTTGGCGCTGCAGGAGCTACTCGATAAGGCACTACAATTGAAGAGAGGTAGAGAGAGAAATATATAAAAATCAACATACGGAATTAACTATACATTGAAAATTATATGAAAACAGTCCAACCGAAGTAGCCGTTTTTCTTAGGGGAACACACTTGGAGCCTTCAACTTAAAGGTCTGATCTACAAGGCAGTGGAGCAACGTAAGGAGATGCAGTCCCATGGTGGTCAGTGACCAACAATTGGTTCATACACTATTTTTTTCCTCCAGGATATTGGAGCCCATGTGCACCACTGGTTTGGAATCGGGGTTTTTCAACTCCCCCAGGTGGACTCTTCATGTCCACCAACCCGGTTAAAGCGCCGGACATTCGCTTTTCGTCCTCTTAATTTCGTAAACAACATCCCCGCCACAAGAAGGCAGTGAGTAGGACTTCCCTGGCAGTGGGTGTATGCATGTGGCCATGTGAGAGGGAGAGTTGACTCTTCTTACTTTCAGACATACCAGGGCATTTGGGGGCTCAAGATAACAATCTAGACAGATATTTAAATTGATTGATCGGATAGTTACAATCAACGTAGAGAGAGTTTTTAGCACAATTATGTATTAACTAGAAGTTATCATACCATATCAACACAGTGAAGTGAAATGAATACACAAGATGAATAGTAAAAGAGTTTAAATAACAACAGTATCAATGACAATAAGGAAAGCTGGATAGTAGAGAATGAAGTTGTAAAAGAACAGATGAATTCAAGGAATAATATATACTTAAAAAAACCAATGCTGAAACTCAAGATCTAGGGGGAGATAAAAAGTGAATCCATCTGGATAAATTGTAACCTATTTTAAATAATTATTTCACTCAATATCTCAAATTACTGAAAATGAAAGGATACAAACTAGATAGTATATATTTACCAATGTAGCGAAGATCAACTAATCAATGATTTCATGGGTATGATCATAAATTGTGGACGACCTCTGGGCGATGCTAAAGTGACCTTGACGATGTCTATCTACTTACTAGAGTCAAAAGAGGGTTATAAGCCAGTGTGAGGAGCTAGAATTATGATTTACAGTTGATAGTTAGGGTTAGGAGTTATATTTAAATTTTTCACCACGAACTGACATTAGCGTCGAACATTCGCTTTTCGTCCTCTCAATTTCGTAAACAACACAAGAGCAATGAGCAGGACTTCCCTAGCAGTGGCTGTAAACGCGTGGCCATGTGATAGCGTTTCGAGAGGTAGAGCTGACTTTCCTCACCTTCAGTCATACCAGGACATTCGGGGGCCAGGTGATCAGGTGATAACTTGAAACTGTAATAGGATTGACATCTGTTGATCTACTACGACTCCTAAGATTGAATTCTAAAGATAGTATAACTCAGTGACTTAAAACGTTAATATACATGGCTCAAAATAGAATCGTTTGGTGAGTTCTGATGAAATTCTTTTTTTACATTCTTTGTAGAAGGGAGAGTAACTGTGTCATCTAATACACACTATTCTTGTTCCATTACTCTTTTCTTCATTGTATTCCCCCACCCTCATTTTTTCTCTTCACATTATTTTGTGTACCTCATTTTATTGCTGAATTTTAGGTGTATTAAATATGTTACTTATTTACAACCTGATAGAAACAGCTTGAACATCCACTTTTATTGTGACATTTAATGATGTGAGTTGGAATTCTAGAACGTGGAGTATCGGTTTCTTTACTGTTACTAAACACACAAACTTGTTGACGATTGCCGCCTACCATGAAACCTAAATCAAATCAAGTTTCCTATTGATCAAGAAATCTAGCCTCTCCGAGTCGACGATTCAGACAACTCTTTGTATTCGATCATCGTCGTCTCTGAAGGACTGTTGACATTCAGTGGCAGCACCATGTTAGTGATGCAGAATTTCGTTAATGTGTGCTGGGGTACGGTGACGACAATTTAATTCGTGTCACTATCCTGAAACACCAGTTTCTGTTACTTGAACATGTGCTTAAAATGTTGTCCCAGTGAATTCCATACCGTATATTACCCGCCAACGCTGGGACTGGTTGGAAAAAGCAGTTTATGACATGGTACCGTGATCTGAAAGAAAACTGTACAGAACTGTCATCTATCAGCCCTTCATGATACCCTGGTTAGGGTTTTGGACATAGTGAAACACGGTGACTTGAGACGTTATCAGGTTTAGAATATAAATTAATCGTGATCATACAGTGATTTTACCTTACTGTTTTTCATAAACGTAGGAGGGACTTCTTTAACTGAAAGAATTCCATTTTTGATTAAGATCATGAATCGATTGATGTTAGACCACGATGGAAAATCTGGAAGCGCTGGACGGACGTCTCGTCCTAGTATTAGGCTCCTCAGCAGTGCGCACGCACGATCCTGATCACGGGATCCAAACCCAAGGCCTTCAGTCTCGCGCGCGAACGCTTAACCATTAGACCACTAAGCCGGGATCCAACGGTATTAATGTCTAACTTCAACTACTCCATGAAATTGGGAAACACATTCACCACTGTCTTGAGTGAGTTACTATCTCACAATAGACCCAGTTGAACCCCATTGATTACTGCTTCTCAACAGAACTCCAAGAAATACCTCTGGAAGCCAGTCACTAGTGAGCATATGTTAATTAATATCAGAAGGGTTTTGTGGATATTATAGTAATCCTAATAGTTGAGATCATGAGTCAATTGAATATAATTAAATTAACCATTAAGGCAAATCTAATCACATAAATAAGTTTACCTTGATTACGGTAGTTGTCGTTGATGTTATTATTATTATTATTCACATTACTATTAATACTACCAACACGATAGGTTTTAGGACCATGATATGATTTTGGAACAGGAACACTTCCAATATCAGGGAAAGTAAAACGACTTTCAAAATGACGAACAAGACTAGTGATATTATTATCATAATTGTAATTGTCCATTGAAGATAATGATGGTTGTTGAAATGGTGGCGGTGGAGGTGGTGGTGTTGGATGTGCACGTGAATTCATTGTATAATTGTTCATATCATACACAGATGAAGGTAAATATGGATTTACATTAGAAGATGGTGCACATGGCAAATCAGTTACGCTTCCATTAATATTTGATGAAATACGTATCACTTTAGTTGACTGACCAACAGGTATACCATTTACATCTGAGTTTGTTGAACCAGCGCGCTTTATGTCGAAATAAAACAAAACAGAAACATCAAATGCATGTTTACAAATGTCAACTTGTTAATTGAAATATCAGTCAAAAATTAAATATTATTCGTTATCGGTTAATGAATTGCATTAAATGTAAACAGCAAAAGGAAAGAAATCACACCAATCAAAAATGTATTGTTGTTTGTAAGTAAAACCGTAATATTTAACAACAACAACAAAAAAAAATGTGTAAATAGTGCACACCAATAAAACGGAATGTTGTTGTTTTTTTCAACAAACAATCATGTATACAATACAATAAGTGAAGAAAGAAGCGGAATCCACAACAACGATGTAAAATATATAAATATCGACATAAGAAAAAAAAACTGTATAGACAGATATAATTATGCACACAACTACCTACCTGATATCGATTTGAACTACTTTGTTTCCGTCGTGGAGAACGTCCATATGGAGGTGGAGGTGGAGGTATAGTAGTAGTAGTAGTACCATTCAGATTATTAACAGTATTATTACTATTATTAACATTAATGTTATTTTCATGTACATTAGTTGCACTTCCTAACTGAAGAGGAGTTACTCGTGTTGATTGTGATGAGGGTGATGCTGACAATGTTGATGATGCTGGTATTGAAGAAAGCATTATAACTTGTACAGGTGGACTTGGAACAACAGATGGTGTTGGTTGATTATCTTCAGATGATTTTTTATAAAAACTGTACCTAGGATAACTATTATTATTGTTGTGAGACGAAGAATTAGAATTGCTCTTTGAAATCGACGGTCTGGCAGGAGTTGGGGGCGGAGGAGGTGCTGCCGATGCTGGTACTGATGATCCATTACGAACGGCCTTCACACACAAATGTAGACAGATAAATTGGCTGAATAAGTATACACATACACACACACTAAGCGCAAGTGAATTTAGATGTATCCAAAAAGAAACAACTGTACATAGTTATTAGGGAGAGCGAAAAGATGTAAACATTTATCTTGTGCAATCAAACTAAGTTACTTAGGTAATAAAGCGTACCACAATTTAATAAAAACTATCATTAGTTAGTGAGGAATAAAAACCACACGAGCATATATACCTTAAACTATATATATATGACTATTGTTATGATAATTATTAATGAAATTGTTAGTTAGTTTGACAAGAGTAGATTAAGAAAAGTGAATATAGGTATTCTGCCTAGAAATGATAATGATAATAAACATTTTGAAAGGTGAAGCAAGCTGTTCACACACATCCCATAAAAAAAACAAGGTGTTCGAGCACCAAAACGTTGAATCCAGCGACTATGTAAATAATTGGGAACCGAGGGGGGTAATTAGATAGGTTTATTGAGTAAAACATTATCCATATCAGAAATCGAATATACAAACCACTAAAATACAATTGCAAAAGTAGGATAATAAATAATAAGTACTTCTTAAAATAACCAAAAAGACACCTTCCATTGACTAGCAGGAACTACTATTACAATCAAAAATTTAAATGAACTGATTATCTGAAGAAGTATGACAAAAGCCTTGTCATGATATTCTAGTACAAAAAACATATCAATTTTGGTTGAAAGATCTTGTGAAGATTAATTTTAATTTGTATGTTGTATCTATTACAGATTGATTTCAGCTGAAGAGTTTCACCGAAAGCCATTGAATATTAAACAGCTGCCTAGTTCTAGTATGGGACTATTACTGAGTAGTGTGCACCTGAAACTATATCAGTGGTCGGACGTAAGACTTGTAGGTTTTATAGTGAGCGTGTCACCATCTAGACAGTTGAATTGATATCGAATGACTGACATGTTTAGCTTTAATTAGTTTAAGATGTAATGAGACGATCGATCACTATTCAGTGATAAGTCATGATATAATATTAATTAAGATTAAATATTATCTGAATAACATGCAGGAATTCATGTTTATACATACAGTTATACAAACGAAGACCCATTTTAAAGTACAATAGATTTACATAAATGTCATCTGTGCCTGAGTCTAGTTGTATTTACATTTAAATGACCTAATTAATCTACTGAATTTTGTTATGGTTCAATGTGACGCTGAATTCAAAGACTGTAAACTTGAACACAGTTTGAAATTTGCTTTTAGGTTTACTGGGGGTTTTTTTCTTCCCTCGTGTATTTTTATTTCATAATTTTGTTGTGAGAAATTAGTTCACTTCATTTTTGAATGAAAAGTTTGTTTGAAAAATGTAACCATAACTTTTAAAAGCACTAATAATTGAAGTGATAAAAATATTCTAGCGAATAATTAAATGAAGTAGCAAGCAATGTCTGACATGCAACACTAAATGGTATATTATGGCATGCAATAAAATATCTACAGACATACAGGTCAGGACAACAAATCAGTTTACTTTTTGATGGAGTTTCGTCCTTTGATCTGGATGGTTTTGGTCGTGGAATTTTCATCGTTCTTCTGAACGATATCATCAGCACAAACTTCAGTAAGAACCAATCAACGTCGAGGTGTACAGAACAAGCTGTGAACGACATGTGGAGAAATTCGAACATTTCACTTCTACCTGAAGTTTGTGCCGATGATGTCGTTCAGAAGAACGACGAAAGCTCCACGACCAAACCATCCAGGTCAGAGAACAAAATTCCATCAAAATCATCAACCTGAGCTACGAATCTTCTCCACCATCTCAAAATCAGTTTACGGAATTCATTGGCTGATGGGACAAAACATATCAGAAAGTGTGCAATTTAGGTTAAATGGGGAAACCTCGGTTGCACGGTAGAATAATTATATTTCATTTTCTGTATCTTTCTATAAATATTGAGGTTAAGTATCATTTCTAACTTTACATTTATCAACCTTATTTATTCGTTCGTTAACCGTATTCATCAAGATTAGCCTATCATAACAATTACGATCATTTCGTCTCTTTTTCTTAATTTGTTAATTCCCTTTTTCGTTACGATGATGCGAGATATGGGTGACAAGGAGACACAGTTTGATTATGAACAAAGTGATCGTGTTTGCTGTTGGAAGTATGAGGGCGATTATTACTTCCCCGGTGCCCATACTGAATGAATATCTCTTATAAATGAACTTAGAAAATAAACCAGGTTAATAGTGGTGTTAGCGACTTAGGAGCATTACTCCAGAGCTAAAAGGACTACTGTTTAAGGGCGGTCACATGCTGTCTCCTTTTAGTAGTTATGGATGAGTCAGCTCCATGGTTTTAGGCCCTCACTATCGGATAAATAAATCTGTGAGTCAAGGCGAAGTGAACATTTCTATGACCAATATTTCCTAACCCCTGCTTTCTATTGTGAGGCTACATAGTAGATGCTGGTTGTTTAGCCGTTACACTGCTATACAGCCAGCAGCAAAACTTCGCTGTCGGGGCATGAGTTTGCTGCTTTTAGTCTAACCACTATCGAACCAACCTGCATGACATGGTAGGACCTAAAGGAACGAATGTTCCAGCCAACCTAAATCGATTGGCTCACTATGATTTGCGTCCTCGACCACCACATCAAGGTAACAGCTGCGAGAGATACGGAAAATGACAATCGATCTAATTGGTTCATGATGTGTACATTACATAAACCATTCAATTTGCTTGGCTCATGTTCACATTTCAGTTTATTCGGTTTACCCCACACCGTTCAAAAAAGACCTTTGAGAATGAAGATCTCCATATACATGCTAAAGTGAACCGGCCAGCACAAATAGCATCTAAACTATTTTACATGACCGTTACAACTATTAAACTATTCCATTAATTTCCTACTGTCAGCCATCACTAACGTGGGACCTAGCACAAATGTTTGTATCAGTTACTTGTGTCATAATTCACAAGTTAGTGTGCAGTGAAACAGAAAATTAACAAAATGAAAAACATAGATGATGGAAAAGTGTCAGAAACATTTTAAAGTACGAAATGATGCTAAGCTCGAAATTTCGAAGAAGAAAATCAAGAACGTAAATATTTACCACATTGTGATCTGTAACGTTTCACGGTTGTCTAATTTGGGTACATATACACGCGCCTCTTACACGACTTATCAAATATGCCACGTAAGGGAACTAGAAATAACTAAGGGGCAGTGGTTGGCAACCTGAATAAAATGTACGTGAATTATGAGTAAATATACATATTTCCCTTCAACCCTGACGAGAACACACAGGTTGAGGACTTTACTAGAGGAGTAATCAACATCATACAACAATGTATCCTGCCTACGATTTACAACCTACCATTTGACCCTGATATTACATATCATATATTTAAATAAACTCATCGAGACCATTTTGAATCGTCACTTAACCTTACTAACCACGTATTACGACTGTCCTGTGGACCTCAATTAGACTTGAAATTATAAATATGGTTCAGCTCACCAGTCAATTACTTCGCAGGTCAATAGCATGTCCTCATTTGCTAACCAAAACATTTATCCGATCATAATGCTATCCCAATCACCGTTGTGCAGTACACGGCAAGAGGAAGGAGGAGTATGTACAACGTCTCGAAGACCCAAAGTGATAACGTTTAGTAAACCTATTAATCATTAGGGTCGTAATTCCTTTGGATGTTTGAAGTTATTACGTTGCGTTTTATCGGAGCTAATGTGATATACCAATTAGATGAAAACTCACCAACACGATTTACTACCCCAATCAGATAAATTATAAACATGAAATATCAGCATAGGATTTTGTGGAGGTTGTGGAATTTTCATAGTTTAAATCATGAACTTGTCTTAGTCATATAATCACTAAAAACCAGGGAGCACTGGATTACTGTTTAGTCTTATTATGAGACATTTCAGCAGTGTCCATTGACGACCTCATGCTTGGGAATCTAACCCAGGACGCTGGGTCTCACGCGAGGATGTTTCACCTTCAGGACGCTGGCGAGTCCCACACTAAGACGAAACGGCCTTTCAGTGCTTCTAAGCTTTTAGCAGTGGCCTGACTAAGATCAGTTTGTGATTTAAAGCATAAGAATACGAAATAATCATAAAGCATTACTATATATTTGATAAGTTAGCGAACCTTATAACTCTCGTAAAATGCATTCCGTTTTACTGCTATCTAAAGGCACTATTCGACTACTTAACTAACTAGAAGAAAGTTCAATCTCAGACTATTTTGGTGCTTTACTTAACATAATACATAATCGTATGTATTAAGTTTTAATTACACTACAAGTCAACAAACAGGGAAAATGACCGAACATTTCTAAAGTTATCCATATTATAACAATAAGAGGTTTAAAGCGTAAAACTAAATGAATGAAGACGTCTTGCTTACTGTAGCATTATTATTTGCCGTTGGAGTCGAATGTTGATAAGGCGCATAAGGAGTAGTTGACAACGAGTAGTTATTCTGAGCTACGGACGCTGCAGTAGGCGGAGATAAGGGAGGGGGAGGGGGAGGTGCAGGACTTTTCACGTGCCCATAACTAGATGGTTTTGTGGATAAATTCTGCACTGTATTATTACGCCCAACATCTGCCGAACTAATAGATTTCAATTTCGGCACACCATTTGCAAAAATATTTGAAAGACCAACAGGTGGGAGATTTCCACTAACAGGTGCTGGTGGACCTGAAGCACTGTCTTCATTATTTTGATCTTGATAAATAAGTAATAAGTAACAGAAGTGGTAAAAGCAGAAAAATAAAGATATTTTTAATAAGAATTTGTGCAAATATATATTTTGAAAAGAACCAACCAACTAAAAGTGAATATCAATAAACGTATATATTAATAATTACCAAGATTTATTAAGAGTTAACAATAAGGGATGTAAACTCCAAGAAAACTGATGCAGGCATGTACGACCATGAGCCATTGCAATCCAAGCACTTAGACGCAAACTACTTGTAAATAAGACTACTAAATGTAAAATGCCCTTAAGATCTATGGTTGGCTTGTGTCCTATATAAAGGTTGAAAACCGTACCTTAATGGCCACTAGCCAAAACATTGACAGTAAAATACAGAAATACTAGTAAGTAATTATCCCGCAAATAATTTTAAGCCCCTTCCTTAAAATAATCAGTCAGTCAGTAATAACGTAGAACTTCGTACGTACGTATATCAGTTCGAGTCGCCATACCACATTAGTACAGAGATCCTTAAAATAATGTTGAAATAGTAGCGAATTGTGTATAGATTCTTAATTCATAGTGTGACAACAATGTAAAAGGTTTTCCTTCGAGTGATGTGGATTAATATTTTATCAGTTTAAATTGTAAATACGAGCGTATACACACACAAAAATAATTCCAACTAGACATCTAACCAAGTGAAGCATTTTTAATAACAATTGGTAGGTGGTTTTAAAACAATAAGGAAAATTCTGTGATGTAAAATTTAGTTCCTATATTTTTTTATCAGTAATTCTTATGATAATATACGCAACACGACCGAATCCCCAAATATGTACAAAATGATCCACCAGGCTCGAAATCATGCTTCTTGAGAGTAAACAATACTACTCAGCTGACTTGAGGGAATTAAGGTCCATTAGAACATAAGGATTAACCATTGAGTGATCCCAAAGCTCTCATAGATTTCCCCAAAGATATATGAAACTACTTTTAATCACATGTTCTAAACCTCTGTGAATTAATGATATGAAAACTTTAGAATCTGTTCAATTCATTACGGAATTAGCTAGTCACGTTAAGTGAAATTCACGAAAAAACGTCAAATCTCAAACTGGTTATTTACCATCTGGAAAGATGGTTAGTCAGTTAGTTAATAAGGACACTAAAAATGGCAAGAATTTATATCGGTAAACATTACCACACTATTTGAAAACAATAAGACAAAATTATCTGGGGGAAAACGGAAAAGTAATCATACCAAAGGTAATGGTCAAGGAAATATAAAATAACATAATTCATGAGGAGTAAGGGGGGTGTAGAGACTTAGAACACTCATGATTAAAGGAAAATCGAGGATAAATGAATCTGAAGCACTGTATATTACAAGACTTAAAAGCACTTCGTCTTATTCAACGTCTTTATTAGATTTCAGTCTCCAATTAATTATCATCATAGTAGAACGTGGTACGGACATGGGTTAACCCGCTGCCGTACGACATTAGCATAACAAGATGAAACCAACAAAATGTAGCAAGAGATCGAAATGATGTAGTAGCAAAAATAATGACCAAACGTTGAGAATATGGTTCGGGAAGACAAAATGAAAAGATATGCATGTGAAAGAATGTTGGAACTCAAGATTGAAAGGAATATAGGGAGTGGATATGAGCTCTGGTGAATGATTATAAGTTACATCATCCGAAACTTTCAACAACTGATCCTCGTTATCACATGATTGACCACCAGGTAATCTGTATCTACCAAAGTGGCTCATATCAACTGTCAATAACCTTGTGAACTAATGCCACGTGATTATTCAACCGCCCCACAACTTTTTCCAGCTTCTAAGTCAACAAACATCACCTATAGAGGCAGGAGATATTTGAGGTCATACGCAAGACACTTTCAAATATTGTATAAATACTTCTCGTCAATATTTCAGGGGTATTCATTTCAATTTTAATTATTTGTGCGGCAAGCACCAACCTACAACGTTGCAGAACATTATATCTACGACCCTTAAATCTTACTCCAGACATTTTGAAACTTTGTGTAATAGACTATAAAAGATTATCACATTACACTTGTGTTAAGCCAAATAGTAAGATATAACGCCAACTATGCGAAAAATGAGCGACCATCAGAAACTTTCTGCAACTTTACTACAGCCTGTAATCAGAATTTGGTTTCACCTTGCTTTTATCCAACGAAAATGTTGGCTACGCATATACTACATAAGATTTTGGCATATTGATTCGAATACGTAGTTCTAATGTGTGAAGTGATAAGGCAAGCATAACTACTGTTTTAAAGTCACTAGTAGTGACCACCTCAAGGTGGTCACTACTCATTTGCTTGCAGCTATTTTGTATCTTTTACGGATTAAATCGAATCAATGTATAGATGATACTACAATCCAAAACGTGGTGAGCTAACCTGTTAGTTTCGACCCAAGAGGAGCACTCCTATCCTTCTTTTCAGAATCAGGAACTTTTCTAAGAGTTCGGCCGGCCCTAATATCAGCCAAAAACGCCGGACCTGAGGAGTCGCAGGACTGTTTTGGCGGTGGTCTGGTAGATTTATTCTGAGGAGGAGGTGGTGGGGGAGGGACAGACATTACGTTGACTCGTTGAATACGACGAATCCCCCAAGCAGGTTAACCGAACCGATAAGGTCAAATTTACAATATGCCGCGACATGTACACTTGTCCAACAGTAGATATTGATAGAATATTACCTTACAGGTATTTGGCTTCTGTTATTGCCATACCTTAATCCCTTTTAATCCTAGATAAGCCTGTTCAATAAATATTCAGTTGCTTTGTTGTGTAGCAGAACATTAACCAAAATGAAAAGTTAAGTAGACATTTGACAATGATGATTGTGGAGATAATTAACATGAAATTGATCTGTAATTAATTTCTATCATTGTTTTCATTCTTCAAAATTTCACATGATTTGTACAATAGCTATAATTGACCGTAAAATTTTCGTTTAAAATACTTTGATCATAATTTTCTGTTCCTGCACTCTTGTAGCAAGTCAGATTACTATCCCTCACAAAAACACTGCTGCATACACAAACTTCATGTTCTCACTTGTCAACCCTGATATATTTGTTGCCTCATCACATAATTACTTTTCATACATATCTCGGATTTCATCAATCATATTGGAGATGTCACAGGTATTTGGAGTTTGGTAACGCTTTAATCAGTAACACCTTCGATGATTGAATCGTACCCACCTGGTGAAATCAAAAGCCAAAAGTGAGGAGATATCTATTTTGGGGATTTATTTACCTCTATAATATTAAGAATCTCTAACTACTTAGAACCGTGAATCACTGCGCGAAAACTCAGATACACCCTCTTTCTTTGTATGTGATTTATATTTCGGCATATTATGTGCTGTCTCTACATTTTTGTAAAACTTTATCAGTATTTTGGAGTTGATATATTTGGCACACCACAAGATGCATGACCGGGCGCCTTCAGCCAGGTGAATTCACTAAAACTAATGTGGTCAGCATCCAATGTCGGAGACTTACAGAGCTGTTGGTTTTGGGGATTTATTTACTAATACAGGTCACTTCCTCTCAGTTGTGTAGTGATGACCCTAAGACAAGGCAAGCCTTAAGTTTTAACCCAAAGAGTTTGTCGCTGGTAAACCCCTCTGATAACTTGCAACGTTCAGCAGATTCTGGTCATTTTTCATTACTATAAGACGCCACGTGGTATAATATAGTAATAGAGAAACAGCTAAAATGAAAATTTCGGTTCATCGTGAACTTCGTCGTTCTTTTTTCATCTTTTTGAGCCGTCCAGAAAACAAAAAATGGATATGTAAGTGCATGTCGAGTTACACTCATACGCACGTAAAGGCATAAAGCGGGCGACAAAAAGGAAAACTCATGCACATGGGACAGCATAAAAGCGATTTTTAAAGAATATTTTGGTAGAAAAAATTAAATATGCACATATTAGCAAAAGATTTTTTTGGAATAACTATGTATATATAAGCATATTAAACATTTTTTATTATATATGATACAAAGAAAAATAGAAACGAAACAAAATGCTAAATAGTGTGGTCTGCGTTCCTTCTTATGCGTTTCGTGAGGAGACGACAAATGGCTTCGGCTTCAGATGCAGCAGCGAGTGCAGTACGTTCCTCTGACTATTTATGCTTGTTGTGTTGTACTTCGTCAAGTACAGAGTATATCTGGTGCAGCGCACCGAAGTCTTCTGGTATATAGTACGTCCTTTTCCGTTTTCGCAGCTTAGACCTGATTTTTTTGGTTTATATAGGTAGTAATTGTTTTAAAACTAATTTTAAAGGGTATAGTAGTGTCTAGTGAAGATTTGGTGGTGGTATTGAATATTTCTAATGTTTCTAAGAGGGTATCACTAGTAAAAACACTGCTCCAGTCAGAGTGCTTTATCAGAAATCGAAAGTTTTTCCAGTCAGCGTTTGCATAGTCTCTATATTGGAAACGCGTATTTAATGTCTTTAATTTGTTGCACATAGCAAGAATCAGAAGGGTACAGAAGACTATTTTGTGATTGCTATTGTGAAACTTTTCGCTAACCACCATTGATGTTGGTGTGACATTATGACAGAATATCAAAGCAAGAATGTTGTGATTTCATGTAGGCAGGTGTACATATTGTTGCCAACCGTGTATGTCTAAGGACCCAAGTATGCTTTCAATGCTCAATGGGCCAGAATGTGTCGTCCAGTTGATGGTGGGAAGGTTAGAATCACCACGTACAATTTTGTGAGTGAAGTCAAGCGAGGCAGCTTGAACAAATGACTCACTTATAACAGTGTCAGTTGAACTAAAAGTGTTAGGAGCTCGATATATGCATCCGATTAGTATTTTACATACATGAGTTTGTGCAGTAAGCTATTTCGAATCAGGAAGTTTGCTGAAGACATGGTCTCCACAGATTTCCGCTCTCAAACTTTTTGATACTTAAACAATACAACCCCCACCCTTCTTGGTGACTTGATCACAGTGGAGGAGCCCATAGGTGTCTATTTGTAGATATGTGTCTATAGTATCGGATGACAGCTAACTTTCCATTGTCAAAACAAGTTAGGGGTTGTTTAAAAGTAATAGGGTGTGTGAATGAGTCATTTTATCTTGTACAGATCGAGCGCCGATTAACATAAGTGTCAGGTACGGTGAGTGTTTGTGTAGTAGAAGGGTATGATGTAAACCCAGTGGATTGTCTGTTTTGCCATAAGAAGAGGAAGAATTGGGAGTGTTGACTATATATCGATGAGCGTTTAGTTTATAACCAATATGGTTAATGCGAGAAAGGTAGTTGGGGGTTAGTTTGGTGAAAGAAGTATGTTTAAGAGTGATAGGTAGAGTTGAATGGTTTGGTAGTGTGTTCGGGGAGTTATCAGAAGGTTCAGTAAGGGTCTTTTAAGACTAGAGACAGTTGTCGACGTTGAAAAAGATATGCCACTTCCCATTAAGTCGGAGTATATAGATGGTCTCAGAATAGTGAGATTGTCGCCCTCAACATTTGGAGACCCCATAGCAGCACTGTTGAGGGGGGAGATAAAAAAGGATGAGATGGTGTATATGTCGAATTAGAGGGATTAAAGAGTTGTATAGGGTGGCTTGACTTAGATAGTATCTAGAATCAGTAGGTGGGTTCCCAAGCAGGCCAACGTTATGGTTTCCTTGTGTGCAGTGGGCAATTTTAGTCCTATTATGGGTAGTTGAGGAGGTTGTATGTTTCTGGTAAGGATCAAAGGATTGCCTAATAGTGTTGCCAAGAGAGGTGCTTTTGTTGTGTGTAGTTGTGCGCTGGTTCACGGAGCTTGCAAGGGTGACACTATATGACTTACGGATATCACGTTTAGGTGTGATTCTTTTCGAATGTCGTCTCACGTTAGGATGAGTGGGCACTACCAGTTCACTATGTTTGTTGTAGAGTATCCTACTGCTATGAAACGGTGCATGTTTTGGGTTAGGGGTGCTCAAGTACTAGTAGGTATTTTACAGAGAGTTTAGTATTATTTCGTACAGCGGTGTCTGAGCGTCTGTAGACGTTAGCGCATATTTTGGGAGGATCGCTATTAGGGTTTTTATCGGCGCCGCTAGGGTGATACTGGGGCACTATTGAAGCATAAGTGGACTGACATTTTTGGGTAGCTGAGTGTTTGAGCCGAGGATGAGTAGTTGCAGCTGCTCTATGTGCAGTCCTGTTCCTAGGACTAACAGCAGCATCCGAAGTGCCTCCGTTTTTGGGAAGTGTAGTGTATGGTGTTTTAGGATCTGCGCAGTGGCGAACGCTGTAACGGCCGCGGCTACGTGGGCTGCGTTGATTAATTTGTATTCTGTTGTGAACGGGGAATTAAAAAGCCCAGACAATTATGAAAGCTATTTTCTTGGGACGTTATTGCATTTCATTCAAACCCTGTAAAACACTTATATTTATTTTTGTCCCTATCTTATTCTACATAACACGAGCTTTCGTTCTATGTATCATTCACTAGCATACTCTTTTTTGTTCCGAAAATATTGTAATTTAAACATAATATTTTGCACTGTATTTTCCACCCTAATTCCCTGTTTCCGGCATAACTGTATTTTTCCAAATTATTGTACGTCGTAGTCAAGATATTCACTTATTTATTCATGTACATTTTTGTATTAATCCGAATTCAGAGAAACCAGAGTTCAGTGTTCCACCTGTCTTGTCTCCTCTCACTTGCGTGCTTGCCAACCAATCAGGTTCTAGAATAGTTATCTCTCTACCCCATCTCGAACTCAGGCGTGAAAGGCTCAAGGTTAAGCCGTTCACCCTATCGCGTCAAGGTCATAGTTTAGCCTAGACAGATCAAGGTCGAGTCATAACAAGTATCAACGAAGTAAAACCGATTCAAGGACATAGCATATTCCACTGAAGATTCGACACTAGATAGCAGTTTTGTCATGGATAATTCAAATCTTTTTAAATAATAATAATAATTTATTCTCAAATAACAGTTTGTTACATGAGGCATGCCAGTTTACAGCCAAGATCAAATCCATACAAATGATACAATATCCATTGTAGTAAATTACATAGCTGGGTTGATGATTTATAAGATATGAATGTAGATAGTTTTAATCAGTACCATAGTTGGCGCGCTTCATGAAAGTTCGCGTTGTAAATGTGCAACTGATGATCAAGGATAGGTCCATTGAATGTGGGAGATTCTAAATGCCGCAACCTTATGTCTCTTTGGGATATCCAAGGCTTTGAAGATCGTGCAGGATGAAGTCACCCGTTCCATATCTTTAGGGGGCTGAAAGAGGGAACAACTAAAAGAAAACACGAGAGGCAGAGTAGCCAATATTCATGAAGGAATGTTTAAGGTATGATTACTCAGTCAAATTTTCTTTTATTAAGGTATTTGGTAAGAAAGAGCATTCTAATAGGTTAAAGAAAATAAGTGTTAATAAGGTATGAGTGTACATATGTACAACTGGTAAATGGAGGCGATTTAGAAAGGAGCTGAGAGTGTGGGATTATGTGTGGTTATAAAATAAAATATAGTGCTAGAAACAGTATTGTGATATACAATTGGCTATCTTCCTTTTTTATCGAAGCTATTAGATCCCCTTTCATTTTTTTACTACTTTTTTCAGGTATCATAGGGTCTTGAGCAGGCTTCGTATATTAGCGAATTGTCTAGTTAGCTTGTAGTAGGATTACTGGGTAGGAAGTGAAACCAATTCAACATTCGTAACACGATTTATTGAGGTACTTTGCATGATAAATCAGCATTAAAACCGTAAGTTCGTGACATCTCA